TTGGGCACAGCAACCCAAAATCGTTGTACAAATTCATAAAGAGTACCCACGTAACCGCCCATATCAAACAGATATGTATGTATGATTTGATTTTTGTGTTAACTTGATTTTCTATTCACTACCAAAAACAAACTTACTCGTATAAGATGCCAAAATAAGAAACATATAAGATGCTATTTTCGAAACCATTTTGTAATATTCCGTTCAGTTCTACCGCAAATCACGTTATTGCTATTTTCACCTTCACTTCGCACCAATTCAACAAAGTTAATTACACATTTTTATAGGCAATTGGATTACACTTTATCGATTCCTCCAAGTGTATGCATATGTATACCATTTTACAGGCGAGTTATACATCGCCTCATCCTAACTTTCCTGCTCACACAACAAACCAATCCATTGTTTAACTTGGAAATAACGCATATTAATTCAACAGTATTCAGTGTGCGATAAGAAAATCCAACATATTATTGTTTCCTTCAATTTAACACCAAACCCAAATACAATACAAATATTTTCTGCACTGGAAATCCGCAAAACTAATCGCAAATATGAAAAAGTCGATAAATCAGCCGGCCATTGACATTCCCTTGGCGGCGTCAAATTTCAAACACAAGTCTTTGGGCACGTTCAGAAGGCGCAATAGCTCAGTAACTTGCGATTGCACCTTCTGAACGCGTTGTTTTGTACTTCTGATCAACTGAACAGTTGCTTGTTAAATGATCGTAATATTTTTCTGGGCATGAATCAAGGCGAATTCATATAAGGTGGTAGCGGTAGTACAAAAACAAAAACTAACATGTCTTTTGTTTTCGTTTTCGGTACACAAATGTCAAATTCCAGATATTCTTCGCTCAAGGAGGAAGAGGGAAAGAAAATGCCAACACTCTTTCTTTCGCATTCACTCATAAGGAGTTTTGACATATGTGTACCGAGGCGAATTAAAGCAGCTGTTCTAGCAACACCNCTCATAAGGAGTTTTGACATATGTGTACCGAGGCGAATTAAAGCAGCTGTTCTAGCAACACCGCCTTATATAAATTCGCCTTGGCATGAATTGCCTATGACGACAATCGTCTGAACGANATGTACCGAGGCGAATTAAAGCAGCTGTTCTAGCAACACCACCTTGTATAAATTCGCCTTGGCATGAATTGCCTATGACGACAATCGTCTGAACGATATCGTGTCGAGATTGAGTTGCTTCATGAAAACAAAAATTGTTTGATCGTTTGTGCGATATCGTCAACTCGATTCCAGTTATGCTTCACGTAACAGTAATAGTAACATGTAACAGCAACTTAAATGCATAAATCAGTGTTTTTACGAGTTCGTTTTTTCAGTACCGTTTGAACGACAATCGTTTCAAATTTACGTGATTCATGCCTGATCATTTGAGACAACATGTTGTGTGTTGTTGAATTTGACAGCTAATGTATCAACCCGTTCAGAAGACGCATTACGATCACTGATTTTTTTAGCAACGGTTGCGCTCAACTGCTGCGCCTTCTGCACCTACCCTTATATACGATGTACATCTCGTTTCTTTTTAAACACAGGTCGCTGAAGTTACGAACCTCCGGTGCTCTGAGTGCTCGAAAATGGTTATGGTGCAGTTCATGGTCCCCACCGAAAATTGTATTGTATTACTGCCATAGCATGAATCACGTAAATTTGAAACGATAGTCTTTCAAACGATACTGACAAAACGACCTCGTAAAAACACTGATTTATGCATTTATGTTGCTGTTACATGTTACTATTACTGCTACGTGAAGCATAACTGGAATCGAGTTGGCGCTATCGCACAAACGATCAAACAATTTTTGTTTTCATGAAGCAACACAATCTCGACACGATATCGTTCAGACGGTTGTCGTAATACGCAATTCATGCCCAGTATTAAGAATCCGAAGGCGGATCTTATTTTTTTACACCGTTCAAAAGTTATTTGCAAAAAACGTTTTCATTTAGCACAACTTTTTTAGTACTGAAATCACATTAACAAATGCACGAAATTAGTACATATTAATATCTCGATGTTCAGCATATTTTATTTTACCCGAATTTGTAACAAAAAATCACGAAACTTAATGATTTAGGGCCGTTTGCACCATCTCCAGTTAAGTTAGCATTTAACTAGAGGATAGCTAATCTCCAGGTACCTTGATTTGACATTCTCGTTTTCACCAAGCTCAGATTAGCCGACCTCCAGTTAATTCGATAATTGTGAATATTTTGTAGAACAATTCACAAAAACCCATTGTGAATGCTCATAAATGGGCAAACCAGCTGTGTTTTGTTTACATTTTTGACGTGCCATTGTAAAAATAAATTGGTTTTTGTGATAAGTGTGGACTTTTAAGATTTATATAGAAGATAATGGATGACAAAAAGAGAAATCATTTGCAAAATTTTACAAGCGGCGATGAGCCCCTTCTTATCACATTGGTCGAGCGGTACGCCAATAAAATAGAAAATAA